AGGCGTTCAAGACCAGCCTGAGCAAGAGTGAAACCACCATCTCTACTAAACATAGAAATTAGTAATAGAAATTAGTGTGGTGTGCACCTGTAGTCCCAGCTTCTCACGAGGGCGAGATAGGAGGATTGCTTGAGCCCAGGAGTTTGAGGTTGCTGTGAGCTAGGCTGATGCTATGGCACTCTAGCCCAGGCAACAGAGTGACACTCTGTCTCACAAAACAACAACAGCAACAAAAAAACCCCAAAACATAATTAAGAAATTAAGAAAACCTTTAGTTTGCTTACTATGTTATTTGTTTTCCCTGATGTTTCAAGGTTTCTTCTTTTTTCATTTTGTTTCTGTTTCTTTTAGCCATAATTTCAGGGTGGGTCTTCTGAGAATGCTTTCTTTTTATTTCTTTTCTTCGGAAAATGTCTTGGTTTACTCCTAATTTTTGAAGGATTTTCTTCTTCTTGGTTTAGAATTGTGGGTTCTTTTCTTTCAACACTTAAAAAATATTGTGTCACTTCCTTATGACCTCATGATTTCTTATCGGAATTGAGAAATCCACTTTCACTTAAATTATATATTTCCCCCGTAAGTGAAGAGTCATTTTTCTCTGGCTGTTTCCAGGATTTCTTCTTTGTCTTTAGTTATTAAAAGTATGATTTATGATGTGTCTCAGTTGCATAGTTGTAATGTGTATAGATTTCTTTGAGTTTATCATATTTGGGATTTTCTCTTGGCTTCCTAAATCTAGGTTTATGTTTCTTGCCAAATTTGGGTAGTTTTCACCCATTATTTCCTCAAGTTCTCTTTTAGCCCTGACTTCTTCCTCCTCTCTTCCCTGGAGTTGAGGACTCAAGTGTTAAGTCTTCTGTTATGGTTCCACAGGTCCCTAAGGCTGTTCTTTCCTTTTTTCCCCCTTGTCTATTTTCTCTCTGTTGTTTAGATTTTTTAATTTCTATTTTTTCTATCTTCCACTTTACCTGTTATTTCCTCAGACTCCCCCATTCTGCTGTCTAGCCCACTTTCTGAGCTGTTTTAATGATTGTATTCGTATTCGCCAGCTCTAAAATTTCCATTTAATTCTTCTTTATGTCTGTTGTATTCTTGTGGCTTTCTAATCTTTTTTTTATTTCTTTCTTCAAATGTGCTCACAATCACTCATTTAAGCATTTGAATGATGACTGCTTTAATGTCTTTGTCAGATAATTCTAACATTTCTGCCATCTTGCTTGATGTTGGCACCTGTGATAGTTAATTTTATGCAAACTTGATGGGGTCTCTGAGTGTGTCTGTGAGGGTTTCTGAAAGAGATTAGCATTTGAATTAGACTGAGTGAGAAGATCTGTCCTCACCAATGTGAGGAGGTATCAACCAATCAACTACCTGCCCAAATAGAACAACAAAGTATAGGAAGAGCAAATTCTCTGTATTCTTAAACTGGGAAACCACCTTCTACCTTTGCACATTAGAGCTCCTGATTCTCAGGTCTTTTGACTCTGAGACACCAGTCACCACCTTCCAGTCAGACAAGGTCAAAGGTTCACAGGACTCTGGCCTTTTGCTGGGAGTTACACCATTTGGCTCCCCTGCTTCTCAGACCTCAGGACTCAGACTGCATTTCAGCACTAGCTTTCCTGGCTCTCCAGCTATCAGAGTGCATGTTTTGAGACTTCTCGAATCCTCCATAGCAAGATGAGCCAATTCCCATAATACATTGTCTCTTACACATCTATATCTACCTCTATCTACAGCCATATCCTATACCAATAGGATAAGGATATGTTTCTCTACAGAACCTTTACTAATACAGCATCTACTGATTGTCTTTCATCATTCAGTTTGACATCTTTCTGGTTCTTGCTACATTGAGTAATGTCTTCATTAAAATCTGGACATTTGTGTGTTATGTTATGAGACTCTATTTAAATCTTCTTTCAGATTTAAAGAAGGTTTAACCTTCTTTGTTATTTAAATCTTCTCTTTCAGCTGGCATTTAGGACACCATTCCAGTGGGAGGAGAGGTGGTACAATTTTATGGGTAGATGAAGGTAGAAGTCCAAGTTTTCCACTCAGTTTCCATTGACATCTGAAGAGGGGACTCCTTATTACTGCTGGATGGGCACTTCATGTCCCCATGTGGTCCCCACTGACACTGCAGTGGAGGTGGCCTTGTGACTGCTGCTACTGCAACAGTCCTGGCTCCTCACTAGAGTGACCACTGGGAGAGAAAGGGGCGTCTCATTTCTGTGGAGTGCCGATAGAAACCCAGGCGCCCACGTGGTCCCCACTGACACTGTGAGATGAAGGTGCCTCATTAACAGACAGTGAGATGAAAGTCTTCGCTTCCCATTTGGCCTTTGCTAGTGTGTGTGCTACTGAGACTGGTTTTTGTTTGTTTGTTTGATATTTTTGTTTCCTAAGATGCCTTCCTAAAGCAGTTTGGCTATTGCCTAAAAGTTTTCTGTCTACTATGCTGTCCCTTTTCTGGTCTTTTAGCTGGAGAAAGCAGGATTTGGGCTTTTTGTTTGTTTGGTTGTTTGTTTTGCCTGTCCTGTTGGCATTCCTGGGTTAAAACTTTTTTAGCTCCGTGTCTGGAATACAAGGGCAAAAGGAAACGCCAGCAGTTCACCACTGTGCTGTTTTCAGGCCACAGGTCCTGAATGTGTGTCCTGAATGTCTGCCTTCTTTGAGTCTTAATTTGGTTGTACAATGAAGTCCAGGGTTTTAGTGCACTAAATTGGGGGTAATAGGGAAAAATATGCCTACCAAATTTTTCTGGGACCAAAGTATCCATGATTTTAAATAAACAAGTTTATGAATATTATTATACTAATATTTATCTTTAGAATTTGCCTCACCTCTATCTATTTGCCTTTATTGGTATCTTTCCCCAGGTAACACTATATTTCTTCCTAGCTACTCTCTTTCTAATTTCTAAGAATCAATAGCAGATATAGGAAGATCAACTTGATCATTCATTCTTTTTATGTGTTTCTACTAGAAAATAAATCACCATTATCACTTCTTAGCATTTGGACTCCATGCCATTCATTAAAAACATTCCGATGAAATTAAATGTGAAATGTTTTAGTCATCATCAAGGACTTCATAACCCATCCACTGCATCAGTGTTTTTTCAAACATTTTAGCAGCATTGCTTCAAGTTTTAAAATTTTATTAGAAAATCATCCAACAAGAACAAGGAGTCTATTATATGCAAAATTTTAATTCTATTATCTTATATTAAAGTCAAGATACAATTTATTCTACATTCTATTTTTTTGTGCCCAGGTGAGAATCATATAATATTTAATAGTAAGAAGTTACAAATGATATTTAATTGTTTTCTTGACAACTCTACTTGCAATGTCAGAATATCCCTTATTAAAACTTATCCAGAAGTCTAAAAGAGAGATATTAGAAACTTTGTTTCAGACTTGAATTACTAACCATACCTAACGAATGCTGGAATTCTTTAATTTGAAGAGTGTCAATGAAGAGACCATGTAATCATTTAAAAGAACTATTGTTAAGTAAAATATACCTAATATGTTATAACCTTATGAACTGTTCAATATCATAGGAAAAATACTTGGTCATCCATGTCAAATATTTACTCAAAATATGAAAATATTCCAGTTGTTTCAATTTTTTAAATTTCTACATTTTTTTCCTGAAAAATTCTCCATAAATGTAAGCAGAAATAGACAACAAAATTTATGATAAGTACTATATTTTAGAATACTAAAGCATCATAAACAACACATTGCATCTTAAGTACATGAACCTAGTAGATGCTAGGTTTGTCTGGCACTTAAAGAAGTATAGCACTGTACCTGCTTACATAATTCTATCTTAGTAGACATTTGGAGGCCTAATTAAAAAGACTGGCATGAAACCATATCTTTCCTAATCAATGACATCTTTTAAAAATTTTCAATTATTTGAACTAAGATAGAATACAAGGTTTTATGCCAAGGTCTGCTCCAAACCAAGTTAATCTGGCAGAACAAGGTAATGAATTGATTTCCCCCCCACTAGTGTGGGGAAAAAAATGGAATGTAAGACATTCAAATGTGTTAGCTGTGTTATTGTTTTAAAATTAGTTTAAATAGATAAATAAAATAAAAGTTGAATCGTGCTTTAAAAAACACTTAAATATGAAATTTAATTTGACAACTACTGAACTAAATAAAGTATTAACTTCCAAGAGGAAGGAGCAGCCTACATTCAGAACATCTCTGGCAATGAGCAGGATTGTGGTACACTGCAGGCACACAATACATGGCAATGGTTTATGTGATCATGTAAGTGATTGAGGAACCTGGAAAGTACATGCAAATGATGGGGGAGTTTCTGAACTTTTCTCCCCCAACATCTCTCTTTGCATTTGGGTCTTAGAAATAAGCAGAACCCAACCCCTCTAGATAAGTGCACCCATTGATTTACATAGAATTCTAAGTATCCCTTGGGCTGAAAGAGGTTAGAGTATGAACCTCACCCATGCCTTCATAAAAAATATCTGACAAGTTAAAAGAAATCTGAACAATCCAATTGAGGTGTGATCACAGGAAGGGATGAGAATCAGTAAAAATAAATGTACCTTAAGAAAAAAGACTCTAGGCTTGGACCTTGGACCTTGACTCTTTAACTGGCCTGGATAGGTGAGAACAGCATCCTTCTAGACAGGGCGGATGGGCCTGGGACCAGAACGGTTTCTGGCATCATGTCTGGGTCTTGAGTGAAGTGACTGCCTCTGTTACCAAAGGTGGTAGAACTAAGGTATAGGTAGTTTTTCATCAGAGAACTTCCACTGACTGGTTATTTTTACTCTGAGAAGCGAATGGGAAGTAAAGTCAGGCCAAGAGAGTGGTAACTTGGTGGCATCAAGGGCGGGTGGAAAGCAGGGCTCCGGGTGGCGCAGGACTGTGGGGTTTGCAGCACGCTTTCGCCCTGCCTGCGCCGGCGCCCTCGCCAGCAGCCCGTCACGCGCACGCCTGACTTCTTGCTCCCTGGAAGTCAGTAACGGTTGAGCAATGACAAACACACCTATAAGGACACAGGTAATATTTTGAAGGATTCTAGGCTGTACTTGGAGAGGAGATCCATATAAAAAACTGAGGTCACTGTTAGTTAAGTGGGTGGAAACTCAAATTTTTTAAATTTGGTTATGAAAGAACATGCAATCTTATTTTATACTCAATGCTGTTTGGGCCTAAATTTATTCCTATACTAGTTACAGTTATGTAAGTGGCTAAGACTATTTATATTCAGCTCTTTTAATAAAAGTGACTTTTTTCTATGAATTTAGAACATTCATGGTTAGAACTGTCTTTTTAAACAAAGCATAGGAGCTTATACGTGCCTTCCAACATACACAGAGATGCATCGGCAGAAGCCACTCAGTGCCGGCCTCCTGACATCGGTAGTAAGTAAAGAAGAATAAAATAACTATTGGCTTTTTCTCTCTCAGCTTACATTTTGTTGATTTTACATTTTTAAAAATGTATCAACCACTGGAAAATAATTAAAACTTAAAAAAAAACAGTGAAAAGTAGAAATCCATGTTTAATTCTGCTGCCTTCAAAAGTTTCTTGGAAAGGTTAATTATTAAATAGCTATTCATCTGTGCCTTCTGTTCAGCCTTCTAAAGACTGATAAAGCTGCAGTCTTAATTAAGGAAAAAGGAACTAATGTGGCTTTTAGTTTTTATTCTGTTAGATCAAGAGGAAAAACACTCTGCACCTCTGTTAACATCACTCAGAGCTGTTCAATTACATGTTGATTTTATTCAGTTAAGTATCAGTCAGGCCAGAAAATCATATTCCAGTATATATTCTATATAAACTCATATTTTTGCTTCAAGGTTAAAGTATGAACATTCTATGAGCTGATGCTTGATCTAAGTCCATAAGCAGCCAAATCCTCAACCTGCAGCAGCTGGACTGTCTAGTTGGCCATCAGACTCAACAGCAGGCTTCAGCTGTCATGCCTGAACCTTCTTTCAGTCGGAGGCATTCTTTATGCAGTCCACTTGCCCATGGCTGTCTTTTGAAAAGTCTGGTCTAGGCCAATATTTGCCTCCTTCACTCTGAAACTGAGCTGTGGTGAAAGTCTATTTCAGGGTCCCTCAGCTGATGTCCTCATAGGACTACATTGTGGGCTCACCAGTTAGGAGTGCGCCCTTTTGACCACGGCCTTAGTAGGAAAACTCACATGCTTTTCTTGAAATGAGGAAATAGCATTGATCCACATAGTCTTCAAGCTCGTCAAATTCTAAAAAGAGCCTCTAGGCCATAATTCAAAGGGCCTCACTTTCAAGAGTTCGAATTTCAAATCAGTAGGTCCTATCAAGGATTTGTATTATTTTTAATAGCAACTCTAAAGATGCAATAAAAACTGAATGCATGATGCATATTTTCTGTATAAGCACCGGCACGTGTTATGTTTTTGCTTCATTGATGTCTCTGTGTGGAAAGGAAAATAAAGAGATATCACCACATCATATTTTGCTTTAAGCGCAGAGAGTTTCTTGGTAGTGGTGAGGTTCAGGCAGTATTTGAGGGAAAAGAGTGATAGTGACCAGTGGATTTGGGAGAACCAGAAAAGAGTGAACTTAGAAGAGCACAGACTTTAAAGACGCCAAGGAAAAGAGATCAAAAAGGATATTTATCTGGACAAAGTAGATGGTGTGAGTAAGTACAGAAAGAATCATTGAAGTAATCATCTAATTGTGAAGTTTTGCTTTGGTTTTATATTTTCCTTGCAGGGAGGAAGATTCCGAATCATTTCTTCAGAATCTGTGATTCAATCTTTATCTGAAGCAAAATTTGAATGTCAATGTATGGGAAAGGAAGGGTGTGAAGTGTCAATTCTTGCAAGTCTAACAAGCTCTTGGCACTTTACTTATATTATTTAAATAAAATTTCACAATAACCCTATGAGGTAGAACTTGTTACCTCATTTTATCAAAGAGAAAACCAAAATTAAAAAAATAGCATGCCCTATAGTGAAATGGGATCCAGACCTAGGAGACCCTAAAGTGCATTCCCTTGGCAGTTTCTTCTGGTTCCAGCCTTAGCGACCAGCACTCCCTGGGGCACCCGTTCTGTCTCAGGGAACCTTAGGTAACTATCCCTGGAAGGCAGCCTCCCCCCTCCTCTGTCTACTGAAGGCCATGGAAGTTGTGGGAAACTTTGCTTGATTTTACATTTAAAAATACAACTCTCCTTCTAGGAACAAGCAGTGATTTAAAGGCCTGTTTAATTTTAATTAATTTAATGACAAAATAAATTAATGTCTATGAGAGGAGAGTTGTTAATTATACCCTAATAACAGAGATGTCTCTCCCAGCCCCAGATGCTGTCCGCAGCCTGCCTGCTCGTCCCCCTAAATTCCATTACGCACATCAGCACCTAGCCAAGCACTTCTGTATTCATTAGCTGGGACAGACACAAGGAGTTAGCACTCTGGGAATCCAATTTATATTTTCTCAATCTCTGGCACTTCATGGTAAAAAGAATCCAAACTCTCTTTCTGGGGTTAAGATTTATTCGTTCATTTCTTAATTTAATTTGCTTTTCCTGAGCTTATTCCACTTGTTGGACCCTGTGCTAGGCACCAGGGATATGAAGATAAATTAGTTTCTGCCCTAATCCATTCAGATCCAAATTTAGAAAGGCAAACCCCAGGAGCCAGCCCTACAGAGAGGACAGCGCGTGCAGAGGCTGGGATCACAAGCACAGGGAGGGCCCGCGCCAGCGGGGGCCAGGCGGGCTCGCCCTAGCTGTTGGCTGGGGCCTCTCCAGAGGCAGAGCGGTGGCGGCACGCAGGAGCGGGAACAGGGACCACTCACATGATTTGAAATGTGTGCAACACTCCTGTGGGCTGAAATTGTCATCAGCGGAAAAACTTTGCTTGAAGAAAGTAGTTTTAGCCCCCAGTGACACCATTAGACTTCTCACAGTTTTGTCAACCTAGTTAAAGCTAATGACAAACATATTTCAGACTTGCTGGTGGGTTTTTTTGTCATCATCTGCAGGAAACTGCCTGAGAATGAAGTCGATTCATGAGAAAACCAAGGCAAGAGACAGGAAGGGGCAGATTCTCAAAGACATTTAAAAAAATTTTTTTGAGCATCTGGACCCAACTGCTCCTGAATTCCATTTACTCTTATATGTTTCAGTTGCATAAGCAGATAAATTTCCTTACTTAAGTCAATTTGCATCGAGTTTCTTTCACTTCTAATTGAAAGTGACCTAATATATTTATTTTCCATTATGACAGTTCAGCTATTACTTTCTTTTGTTTTTAGTGATTGATTCTTTCTACCTCATAGTGGGCCTCACATTCAAATTATAAAGGAGCTATTATCTACTGGGCTGGGAATTCAGCTTCCAGGATTGAGCCACTCTTGGGCAGAGTTCTCCAGTTAGGTTCATCAAGGAACACCTGTTGTATGAGTCAAGTATTGGTCTGTATCCAGTTAGGTGTGATCATTGCATCATGAATGCAGGATACATTAACGGTTCATGCATTTGAAGCGTATCTGTTCTTGCTTCACTTTAAATGGGACCTGTGGGCATTGCAGGTACTCAGAGCCAGAGATCCAACAGTGGACCAGTTTTGCTCTCCATGCTGTTCATGGCCTGGAAATTAAAGAGTGGATTAAACTGACCTTGTTTGGTAACAAGAGGAGAGCTTCCAAAAAATTATATGTAAATTGAATTCTATTTTAAATATGTTAGAGAGTTTTCTATTGACTTGGGTCCTACCGTGAATCTTTTAAAAAGTGAATAATTGATTTCTAAATTTAGCCTTTATGTAAACCCAGATTTTTAAATGTTGGGTTTGCCTAAAATAAGATCCTCTGTAGAAGAGAACACAGTCCTTTTCATCTGTGTTCATGGTTTTGGAAGTTACTGAACGTGCTTCCCCAGACCTCTCGCCAACTTATTCCATCTTTAATTTAGTGAGTAATTGAGCCTTTCTTTTTTTTTTTTTTTTTTTTTGATAAGAGCCCCAGTGTTAATAATTGAGCCTTTCTTACCTAAGCCGTAAAATGATTTCGCTTTCTCTGGGAGGCTGAGGTGGGAGGATTGCTTGAGGTCAGAAGTTTAAGACCAGCCTGAGTAAGAGTGAGACTCTGTCTCTACTAAAAATAGGAAGAAAAAAAAAAAAAACAAGCAGGAGTGGTGGTACACGCCTGTAGTCCCAGCTAGTCAGGAGGCTGAGAGAGGAGGATCGCTTGAGCTCAGGAGTTTGAGGTTGCTGTGAGCTATGATTGTGCCATTTCACTCTAGTGGGATGACAGAGAGATATTCTGACTCAAAAAAAAACCCCAAAATGTGATTTCACTTTTAATAAGAAAAGATTTAGACTACTCCCTCAGTACAAGTGTCGGTGGTTACAGAAAATATGCGATAATGCGATAGACCCCCCAACTCCACCTCTTACCAAACACACAAACTGGCATGAATGCTAGAACCTTTCCAAGTTATTTTTTTCCAAGTGAATTTTTTTATGTTGTGGAAAATAGCAGTGCATTATTTATGAGGAAAACAGTTTTGTTTCTTTCTTTTTTTAATGCATTGATATCAATTCTCGTATGTCTTAGAAACATTCTTTAGCTCCTAGGCATTTGCTCAGGCTTAGAGTTTCTAAGTTTAGATCATTGGAAATAATCTGATCATGTTACCCTGTATTGTTGTTGTTGTTGAACTGATCATATACTGCTATTTTAAAGATATGAGTTATTGCTCTGCAAATAATGTTCCACGAGTTCAGTAGAAGTTCCTTTGCAACCTGTTCCTAGCCTGACTGTTTGTAGTTAGTTTTACACTTGTCTGTGGCTTTGCACATGTTAGTATTTTTTTTGCCATAATTCAGATATCAAATGTCTCCTCACCTGGTGGCCCTACTTGCTCCCCACCCCCAGGACGTTAATGGCTTATTTCTCTGTGAGACAAAGTATGCAGTAAGCGTTTCATGGCCCATGTGTGGGCACTGCTATTATTAATGGTTGTGTCTGTGTTGGCCTCACTCACCAGTGCAGTGAGTCTGA